AGGACCTGAGGGAATGGCATGAAAATGTGCCAGGGGAGGTTTAGACCGGATATTAGGAAAAGGTTCTTCACCCAGAGGGTGGTCAAGCACTGGAATAGGCTCCCCAAGGAAGTAGTTACAGTGCAAAGCCTGACAGTATTCAAGAAGCATTTGGACAACGCCCTCAGACACATGGTGTGAATTTTAGGGCTGTTCTGTGCAGAGACAGGAGTTCGACTCGATGATCCCTGTGGGTTTCTTCCAACTCAGGACATTCTATGATACGCTGCTCCTGTATGGTCACTACTGTTTACAGACCTGGCTCCCTCAAACTAAATCAATAATGAAACACAGCACTCTCAAATACTGTCAAAGAAGTTATACATTTATATTCTAATCAACTACAGAGTATTATTGTCAAACCATGTTCATATTAACTTGAATGGGAAAATTTTTTTTTTAAAAAAAATCAAACGTCTTGAGAAAGGAGCGAGATTTGGAAAATGAAGGAATTTGATTTTTTTTAAAAAAAAAATCAAACGTCTTGAGAATGGAGCGAGATTTGGAAAATGAAGGAATTTGAATACTTCTAAAAATGCCTATTTGTGGGATTTGAAAGAACAAAATAACATGTCTGTTTTTGCAGACATTTATAAACAAAAGGTTTCTTGAGCATAGCTTATTTACTATACCTGAATGTTGTATCTCTATAGAAATGGCAAACCACATTTTTACTTTCTTTCACTTCTTGGAAAAAGTCTCTCTCACTTCGGATTTCTCTGTATTCTCCATGTCCTTTTGAAAGCCACTCCTTTTGGAAAACATAAAACAAAATAATTAGCATGGAATTTGTTAGTCCTGCACCTGTCATGCAAGCTCTACAGCTTTTAAGAAAAATTACAAAAAGGGGGCCTGCAGTAGAAACCCATTTCATACAGTAACAGAAGGAGAAACAAATTATTTCCCCCCCTTTATTTCTGTTTTGAAAATACGCAAATGCCACTAGGCTAGACAATGCTTTGGGGTTGCCTCTCTCTCAACAACAGACAGGCGGTTGAGCAGTAAGGCTACCTTACTTGTTTGGAAATACAAATCCTGTACAGAGCTGCATAAATTTCCGCAGTGCAGCCCCTCAGTAAGACTAGACCAGTTCAAAGAGAACGACGACAACAGAAAATCCTCAGCATTTGAAAACTGCTAATCAGCAGCTTGGGCTACTCTGTCTAAAATGTTTCTGTACACTCAAAGAAGTCTTGTCTAAAACTGATTCAAGTCATTACATGTATTAAAATAGACTTCTTCTAATTTTTCCCCCTATGAGAAAATCAGGGAGAAAAAAGCATACTAGCTCACCTGCAACCGATGATGTTTATCTATCAAATATACACTGAAGGTATCTTAATATAAGCCGGGCTTCCAGAAAACCATTCAGAAAGCACATGCATACCATTAGTCATAAAATGTATGGAGAAACAGAGTTTCACAAGCTGAAATTTACAGGCAACTCCAAAAACTGCCTGATTAAGTGTTCAAATCCAGTCTAGAAAAAGTTAATCTTCTAGATTTTCAATAAATGCACTTAAGAAAAAACCTAACTTCTACAATACTGAAACTTAATTGCAGTGCATTAAAACAAGTACAGACTAAGCTAAATGATTAGAAGTAGTGCAGTATAACATAATCTGACAAAAAACTTTAGTTTCCAATGTATGTACATGGAATTGAGATGAATCACTGTTCTTCATCTTGCAGTTTTGTCTTAGCAGAGTGGGGGTGGGGGGTAAAGGTTTCCAAGCAAACCAAAAATATCCTGTAAGCTAAATTAGGAGAGAACAAAGATTTTCCTCAACATTGTACACATTAAAAATGCATAGAAGTATGAGCACATGAAGAAGTCATCATGATGCAAATCAAGAACAGACTTATCCTTCAACAGTGGGTATACATTAATTCCCATCTGCACAATCATATTCCAGAACAGTGTGGCAGCGTACTCCTTTTACTGAGTAGTACCTGACTTTAGATTTGCACTTGAAAATGCCTAAGAACAGTGACTTAAGATCAACTGACATGAAAAAGTTTTCACATGAGAACTACCACGTGTTCACATCCAAGAACATCTAAGTGTTATGACTTCTGAAAAAGGAAAACACTAGAATCAAATACAAACGGAACTTTCAAAGACAAGCAAATAGTGTGCCACCTTCTCTGCTTCTGTGTTTAGAGAATCAAAGCTGCTAACACTGCCTGTCCTCCAGCATCCCAACCATGCCATGACAATTTACTGCATTCCTGTTTCAAAGCATGGCATTAGCTTTTATGGGTTCCGCCAGAGCATCTCCTTTCAACCCAGTCACCTCCCCCCCAACCCAGTCTGTTTCTTTATTTAGGTTTGCTTAGATGGAGTAAGCTAAGAAACCTATGGCTTCCCTACTTACAATTCAGCTGTCACACCATATGTTACCAAAATTTTGCTGACAACTATGTTCAAAGAGACTTTTTGGGGAGCATAAATACCACAATTTAGCATGAGGTATCAGGGACCAAATCAGAATTTCTTCCCTGCAAGAAGAAATGGGCAGTCATACAAAGACAGCTTTTCACTGGGTTAGAAGAAGTGGGACAAATGATTCCATCCCAAGAACAAGGAAAGACCCTGTACTGTTCTTCTACAAAATACCTTAAGAGAAAAGCATGCATCACTTACATGTCGTAAGTAACAATATCCAGAATTCAGAAGCTTAAGGAGCCTAAAGGCTTACGATTAGGTTGCCTACAAGGCTTATGCTTCCAGATAGCAACGTTCAGTGAATACGGACATGTTCAAATCTCTGTACGAGACTCTTTATCCTAGCCTTATTGTAAACAATCACAGAGGTTCTTCCCTCCTCCTGTTAAAAAACACAAAGCATGCACACATGGACAGACACATGCTTCCCTGGACAATTTAAAATTAATAAGTACAGAAAGGTGAGGAAGAAGGGGAAAAAAAAACCCCACCAATCCCAAAACACTTAGTTCGCATATACAATTTCCCCAGGACTTCCAAAAAGTCTGTTACACTGTACACATCGAGAGTCTATATTACTACAGGAATTACTTGTTTCTGCTGCTGGGCCTTTTTTAGTGCCTCAAGCCTCCTTTGTTTAAGGCATTCCAGTTCATCTTCATCCATTTGGTCCAGCTTCTGTATTTCAGCATCCAGGTGTTCTTCCACAACCTTGGCAGTCTGAAGTATTTCATTCTCCAGAACTTTTTGAAGTATCTCAACAGAGGTATCAGCAGCCATCTTTAACTAGGAAGTGATCTCTTCAGAGCTGTGGAAATAGTGATACATGGAATTAACATTTATACAAATACTTGATTAAAAGCCTGACGTCTCTTACTTGCAGTTCACATCTGTGTGCTTTGTGAACATATTTTCCAAAGGGGGTTGCAATAAAGATACCAGTCAAGTCCTGCTCGCTCAATCCCAAAAGCAGCTATTGAAGGTGCACAGGAACCTGAAATTACTTGTCAATGTAAAGAAGTAAAATTCACCAGTTCCAAAGGAACACTCATCCTGAGCCAGATCCATGTACTTTTAATAAATATTCTGAAGCTAGAAAATGCAATCAGGAAGCTCCAAGCTGCTGGCAGGAGGTGTAAGATGCCTCAGAATAAATCTAAGCAGTGCCAAGTATGTAAGTTTCTGCCAGTAGTTTAAATGCAACCACTTTAAGTACCTGATGTATATTAACATATTTAAATAGGAATTAACACTCCTCTCCTCTGCTAAAAGACAAGGCGCTCAACAGCAAATGCTTTAGGCCAATATGCTGTTTCAATTAGTACAAGAAAACTGCTATTGCAACCACCACCCTATGGCAGTCAGCAAAAGGATTTACAAAACCCCAACAACCACTACCTAATTGCTGCGCGAAGTAACACAGCTAAAATAATTTTCTGTTAAATTCTCCCTGCTCAAACACCTCAAAAAGCACAAAACGCTAAAACTGGAGTGCATGAGGAGCTGGGGCAACATAATTGGTTGTTCTCCCCAATAAACTCACACTACAAAAAACTCCCACTGTAATGAGTGACAGCTTTGAAACAGGGACAGTGCAGTCACCCTAACCAGATTATCAGCCTGCAGGCCACGGATCTGATGTGCTGAATTTGGGTTCCAGAGTACTCTTGGCCGTATTTCAAAATAGCCAAACTACCAGTGCTACTGGCTTTGTAAACACCTTGCATACAGAGGCAAGAAAGCATTTTAAGTAGCAATGGGTGAAGTACCAACATCACGGCAGCACTCCAAGTATAATGCAACATCAGCAGTACCGCGCCTGCTGCCGCACTCCACGCATCTCACAGCCACACTTGTTCTGACCTGCACACCTTGTCTTCAGTCCCTCGCCCTGAAGCTGCTAACTACGAAGTCTCTCAGTTAGTGTTTTCCTGTATTTCCAGAGGAAATAAGAACTTTGCTAGCGCAGGCCAGAGGCCACTAGGCCTTCAGAAGAAGGAAGGAACCCTGCTCAGGGGAGGCAAAGGGAGGCTTGTTCTCCAAGCAAACAGGAGGGAAAACAGAAAACCAACCCCAGCCGGTCTCCACTACAGCCCGAGGTCCCCAGAGAGCTCCCGGCTCCCCACGCCGCGGAAGCCTGAGTGCCAACAAGGGTTTGCTACGCAGCAGAGGGCCGGCGCCCAAGGCCCGCTCCCGGGGGACTCGGCACCACCGACGGGGCCGCGG